CTACTCTGTGGCTGCTATTTAACAAAAACAAATTGTAAGACTTTGCACACCTTTGGTTTTGATGCCCCTGAAATGTATTGAGCTAATTTAAACTGAAAGTTCAGCTGGGCATTAAGCTTAAACCGTATCTGTAACTTTACTTTAAAAATAAACTTCCATAGGAATTAGACAGAAAAATGTTTGTGTAGTTTTCTAGTTTTTGGTCAAAGTAGGAATGGGGTGGAAACCCTAAGCAGGTAGGCTCTAATCCCTGCATGCATTTAAGGCTTTATTTCAATCCCTCAAGCACTGATACAAGAACCATTCGGGTACTACTGAGAGGCTTGTAGGTAGTTGTTAAAATAGTTCACTGCAACATGTGAAAGAGTAGAGGAAAAAGGGTAGAGGAAAAGGCTGTAATAATTAACTAATTTCTCGCACCCCGGCCGCCAGTGCTCTTCTCTTAGAGGGCCTGATCGCAAGTTGGAGCATCAAAGTCCTCTCACACAAAACAGGACTCTGTGCTTAGTGATCACCAACACTCACACCCCCTCTGGGCTAGGGAGGGTCAATAAATGTTGCTGCTTCTTTTGATGTGCACACAACTTCTATACAGCCAGTTTCATCTGAATGAGAAGTAGTTAGCAGCAGAACCCACCCTCTCCCTGTGCACACTGAATCGTGGGATTTCGGAATACCACTGCAGCAGTTGATATTTTGCTCAAACTAGTGTTTTATGCTTTGCAGTATGACCTACACATCAAACACATGCAACATAGTGTCTGGTGTATTGTCTTGTATTATTTACACTTAGTCAAAGCTGTTTGTGTTAGCTGAGGCATGCTGTCTGCAAAATCTAAAATCCTGTTGCTATGAGCTTTAAAGTAGCAAGCTGCTGCCTCTACCTCCTCCATCACCCGTGCACAGCAGGATGAAAGAAAGCAAGGATGATCGAGTTAGAAAACCTTATAAAAATGATCAAATATGAGCAGAAAGCTGCACAGCAGGCAGAGCGAGGGGATATAAAAACACAGAATTGTACAGAATGGAGTTCTACTTTAATGTACAGTTTTGCTCAAAAGTTTGCATACCCTGGCAGAAATTGTGAAATTTTGGCATTGATATTGAAAATATGACTGATCATGCCAAAAACTGTCTTTTATTTAAGGATAGTGATAATATGAAGCCATTTATTATCACATAGTTGTTTGGCTCCTTCTTAAATCATAATGATAACAGAAATCAACCAAATGGTCATGATCAAAAGTTTACATCCCCTGAACTGTTTGGCCTTGTTACAGACACACAAGGTGACACACACAGGTTAAAATGGCAATTAAAGGTTAATTTCAAACATCCGTGGCTTTTTAAATTGCAATTATTGTCTGTGTATAAATAGTCAATGAGTGTGTTAGCTTTCAAGTGGATGCACTGAGCAGCCTAGACACTGAGACATGGGGAGCAGAAAAGAACTGTCAAAAGACCTGCGTAACAAGGTATAAAAGATGTAAAAGGATATAAAAGATATCCAATGCCTTGAAAATGCCAGTGTTCAATCACGTATTAAGAAGTGGAAAATTTGGGATCTCTTGATACCAAGCCAAGGTCAGGTAGGCCAAGAAAGATTGCAGCCACAACTGCCAGAAAAATTGTTCAGGATACAAAGAAAAACCCACCAGTAACCTCAGGAGAAATACAGGTTGCTCTGGAAAAAGACGGTGTGGTTGTTTCAAGGAGAACAATACAACGATACTTGAACAAAAATGAGCTGCATTGTCGAGTTGCAAGAAAGAAGCCTTTACTGCACCAATGCCACAAAAAAGCCCGGTTACAATATGCCTGATAACATCTTGACACGCCTCACAGCTTCTGGCACATTGTAATATGGAGTGACGAGACCAATATAGAGGTTTATGGTCACAACTATAAGCACTATGTTTGGAGAGGGGTCAACAAGCCTATAGCCACAAGAATACCATCCCCAATGTGAAGCATGGTGGTGGCTCACTCATGTTTTGGGGGGATGTGACCTCTAACGACACGGAGAATGTTGTGAACATTGATATCAAGATGAATGCAGCATGTTATCAGAACATACTGGCAGACAATTTGCGTTTTTCGTCATTTGGCTGTTTTATGACGAAAACAAAATACTAGGGCAGTTAATGGGACGAAAACGAAACAAATATTCTGAGAATTTAATTGAAGAACGAAAACGAAACAAAAATTCGTTCCCAGACTCGTGATTTTGGCTTCGTGTTCCCTGAGCACTTCCTGTAGTAGGGAGATGTGAACTAACAACTAGTGTACTAATAACCGACTTTAATTTTCGTCGACTAAAATAAAAATGAATTTGGTGACTAAAATACAACTACAAATAAAAATTAATTTTCGTCAAAAGACTAAGACTAAAATTAAATTTGGTGTCAAAATAAACACTGCATCACCGTCTCCTGACTAATATGATCGAGCCACTCTGGGGAGATCTCAATTATTCATGCAAGATGACCAAAGACTTTGTATGACTTTGCATGACCTAGAGGCATTTTGCCAAGGCGAATGGGCAGCTATACCACCTGCAAGAATTTGGGGCCTCATAGACAACTATTACAAAAGACTGCACGCTGTCATTGATGCTAAAGGGGGCAATACACAGTATTAAGAACTAAGGGTATGCAGACTTTTGAAATGGGGTCATTTCATTTTTTTTATTGGTTGCCATATTTTGTTTTATGATTGTGCCATTGTGTTATGACCTACAGTTGAATTTGGATCCTATAAGAAATAAAAGAAATGTGTTTTGCCTTCTCACTCATGTTTGCTTTAAAAATGGTACATATATTACAAATTCTCCAAGGGTATGCAAACTTTTGAGCACAACCGCATTGCTGTTAAATAGTTCTATGGACTACATGACAGAATTACTACAGGCAAAACAACGCTACATAATAGCATTCCATTTCTCACTGCAATAAACAATTACCTACACCAACGAGCCTTGCTACATTTCAAATAACAGGCTTACAACCTAGTCTTTGATAGTTTAGATTTACAATGCCAGCCATGATACATTTAATGTTTGTGCCTTGGAGGAACACATTCTAATTTAACTGCACTCAAATTGTGCAACAACTATAACAACTGCAGCAGAATTCTAACAGAAAGAAAACGGTGTACTTTACAGATTGTTATATTCTAGTTTTAGTCTCCAGTTTCCCTTTATTGCAGAAATAATTTTTGCGTGTAAGCATAAATAATTCTTAAAGCTTTATATCAGTGAAGAACAAAATTGTTCTGTGAGTCTTTTTAGTACCATGTGTTCTTCTTTTGTCAAACGTGACGTTTTAAATTTAGAACTATTACACAAATGTAATAGTTTTTCCTAGCAAGTTAAATTTCCTCAACTTTCTTGTCTCTAGAAAAAGACCCCACTGTCCTCTGTGTCATTTATGTGCCCAATAAGGCCACTTTTGCTGAATAAATCAGTTAAATTGGCCACACACAGCAGAATGTACTAAACTAATATGACAATTAGTTTATTAATGGGGATGAGCTTTGGGTTCAGATCGACCAAGAGTTCAACCCAAACCCAGCCTGTTAGCAATTTTATGAATGAGTGGACAAACTGGCCTGACTTGGCCAGTTTACTTGCCTGTTCTAACCCCCTGCTGCTGCAGCTGGAAGTCTGTCATTTAGCGGCAGTATCACGAATGCCTCTAAACGCCGGATTGTTTAAAATTGTGAACAAGATAGCAGGCCATATAGTCATGGTTCTCAACATGTCTAATCTCAGGAACCACATTTGCCCTTGGTCATTAAGTTGTGGCCCAAGTCGCACCACACTGGCATGCACTGCGGTACTGCTCGTTCCGGGCGATCGCACTGTGGGTGGGAGGTGCATTTGGGGTGTCATTCAAATGAATGACAACACGCCTCCTGCACTGGAATGCTTTTCAGGTGCTGCCTACTTGTTCATTAGTTACCTAATTTATTCATTAGTTCCTATTCCTCTAGGGAGGGCTCAGCAATGTCATGTGATTGCTATGATGACCGGTCCCATTCAGCTCTATGCCTGTAGACGAAGCCCTCTGTTGTCTACTTGTTCTGATACAAAAAAAAACCAACCAAACCACATTTACCCGTGCTAAGTAGCGCTTCTCATTGGTCGTCAGTGGCCGTCTGTCATTTGAGCTGGCCGCCTCCCTCCCAGCTCAAATCTGGCGTACACTAGGCGTCCAGCTGGGACAGAGGCAGCCAGCAGGGAGAGATGCAGCCAGAGGTGGGGGCGGCAGGGAATGACGAACGAGCAGGCTTGGCATCGCCGAGATCACTTGTACTAGATGAACTCTACATTAGCGCTGCTTGCCCAAAACAGGGCTAAATGTTAAAAAAAAACTACCCCCCTGGCACCTAGAATTGCATGTCACGTGCATCGGGCTCTAGGAATTCCACACCCCTGAATCTTGCAAATTGACCTTGAAAAAGGTCAGACAGAATTTACAAGATTCAGCTCCCATAGAGTTCAATGGGGTTTGATGCCATGTTCAGGTTAAACAGATTTTTTTCATCCATTTGTCGAAAGTCCTGAGAACCAAACATTTTTTTACAAAAGTTTAAAAAATAACCGCACCACAGACAAGATTTTAAATCTCACAACCTGGACAACTGTAAACTGAGGGAAGGAGAAATATTCAAACTAAGGTTAACACAGTGCTTTTGTACATTTTCTGACAGCATTAGAATCCTGTTACCAAGGGGAAGTCCTCCCATAACTGATATTTCAGCTTTAAGAATATGTTACAAGTTAAACCATACTACAATATCCTATAATTGTGGAAATTTTGGCAACCAGATGTCACTGTTAGGTCATCCATAACATATAAGAATCCAGAGGATGACCAACACTAAATATAGTATCTCCTTTGGGTGGACTGACCCTTTATTTAAAACAAGAAGGTACATATTGACAATGAACTCTCTGCTGCAGTCATCATAACTTTAAAGAAAAAAAAAAATCTTACCCACAGTATCACAGGGTTCATCCTTGTGAACACAAAAATCAGTCCTGAAAAGTGAAAACAGACAAAGATAATGTCATTTTTAGCGAGAGACTGATGTAAAATGCCTATGTGCTTAGTAAAGTAATGCAGAAATTGTTGAACTCCATAAGAATAAATAACTTTACTGCGTACAGACTAAAGCAGGCCATACATATTAGATGAAATAGTCTCCCCTGCTGCCTACTTTATTTAGCTTGCGGCAGGACCTTCGGTTGCTGAACACCCAGTGACAATTTCTTGGAAAAATCTTTTTTTTTTTTTTAGCCGGGTGGTGCTGACAGGGTCACTCACACCTTGAACAGACCAATTCAGCAGAGATCGGGTGAAATTTGAGCAGTGTATGGCCAGCATTAGCAGATAGAAACAGCAAGGCACAGACTATGTACTATCTCTCCCCAAATTAATTAGGTTTCTCCCCCAAAAGAATTATAAAAATGTGATATTGAAGATGACTCTGACATACTTAAAGGACCATATGATTGCAGGGATCTCAAGTCTCCCTGATGTTCAGGGAGTCTCCCTTTTTTGGACAGGAGCTCCCTGATGTCTGCGAGAGGCATTTTCTCCCTGAAAGGTTCACTCCGAGTAAACCTTTCCGGTACGATATCAGTGGGTAAAGTTTCAGAGTGAGAGGCTTGCCTCCTGGAGGAAGGTCATGTGATCTCTAGAGTAGCCCCAGGACGAGGCTTGGCTCTCAGAAGGAAGAAGCTACTTGCTGCACAACTTGAGAGCACTAGAGAGCAGCTACTTGAGAGCACTACTATTGAGAGCAGGTACAGGCACTGCTGCAGGGTTGAGAGAGTGCTGTTATATGTCCTGGTTGTCTAGTTATAGAGAACATTTATTTAATTTGCTGCCCATAAAGTTGCTTATTTACCTGGTCATAAACACAGCTACATCAACAGGGGTTTCCTCCTTGGCTCCTGGAACATGGTTGTTTCCTAAATACTTGGTGCCTCCATACTCCTCATTCTGCCAATGGCAAAAGCTCTCCAGAGATCTCTCTCCATGATGCCCAATAGACAGCTTGGTCTGGAAAATGGACAGTTATGACAGTGAAATGTGGTCTCACTAAAGACGAGCAACAATGCAACATTTACTTTACACATCTCTGTTAATGTGCCAATTTTCCTCACTTACTGGACGGCTGTGCAGAAGGACCAACTTGGAAACACGAATATTTACTTTGATTCCCAGACTAGGGTGTTGAAACATGTTGTAAACCTAAATGAGCAGATAGAACATAGACAGTGAATATTAATATTTATATCAAATTAATTTTCTCATAAAATCACAAATCTACCTATTGATATCTTAAATAAGCTGCCAACGAATGCATCAAAGTAACAGACAGCAAATTCAGGGTCTGAGCAATAACGCATGTCCAAACACTGGATGACTACCAAAGGAGATACATCCAGTTGTCGATGTCAGTGTTCAGTCTACAAGCAGCAGTAAAAAAAAAAAGAAAAGAAAAAAAGGGTTTCTCTTTCTCACAATTTATTCATCAGACTCTTTCACCTAAGACACTGCTGCCTCTCCTTAGACTGCCCAATTACAGGCTGGGGGAGGGACAAGACCTATAAGTGTTGCTGAACTAAAGCAGAGAAAAAATAGGTCTCCTTCCCTGCCAGACAGGACCACCCCTATAATGAGGCAGCCTGAGGCAGTTGCCACAGGCGGCATCTCATTGGGTCATCGGCAACCCCCTTTCTGGCCAGAGCATCCCAGATTGCTGAGAGATCTTAACAACCTGTGACACTCGGGGCAGCATCCCACCCAGCTCACTGACATCACTGGTTGCCAGGAGCTGGACAGGACGCTCTTGCTGGCATCCTACCCAGCTCCTGGCAACCAGTGACGTCAGTGAACTGGGTTGGAGGCCGTGCACCACAAACTGCTCACGTCCGGCCAGCCCCCAGAACATTCACCACAAGCCGCCGGCAACAACCCCTACACCACTCCGCCCAGAATATGTATCACTAGCACCAACCTATGCAGGCTGTGTGGTGTGGTAGCTGTGAAAATCTTAGGAAACAAATAAGAAAACAGAGTGCCATGGCCTATTGCAATGACAAATAGAGGGGAGAAGCAATAAGTTATTCTCTGATGCACTCACATTAAATCGGGTTCAAACAGAGTCAATGGGATAATTGGTATTGTGTAGACAGCAACTCTGAAATTGGCAGGATCTGTATGTGGCCATGATGATGTTGGTTTTACTTTATGTATTGTCATGGCAGAGCTGCAGCTGGAAGATGCTGGGAAGCGCTGAAGTTAATAGAAGCCGGTTCACATAACAGCTGTGGAGGTGGCGATGCAAGCTGGCCAGTGTAGAGCAGCTTCAGGATAATGTGTTCTGTGTTGTGAACTGGTTAGCGTGGCAGAGCAGTGGCTGTGAGGTGCCGTGCGAGGAAGGACAGCACAGTAACTGGAGTCACTGGGCCGGAGATAGGAAGATGGAGGGGAAAGCCTGAGCTGGGGAAAAGTTGGGGATGTGGCAACACGTTTCAAAGTTAAAACACCTCTTTGTCAAGCAAGAGAGAAAGGGCGGGAGAAGTAGCTGTGTTTGACAGATGGGCGGAGCCAAGTCCTGAACGAAACACTGCTAATGACGGTACAGGGATTAGTTATGAATAGTGGATCTATAAAATACAATCAATGTATCAATCCGTTTTGTTATGCGACAGTTTGTAATTCTACATTATGTCATTATGATCGATAGATTGGAAAACAAGGGCCGAGGGGTGCCGGAGACTCCTAAAATACTTTACAATTAATATAAGAAGTGGACCGGGCACCTATTTGTGAGCAAACTAAAAGAGCTAAACAGTATCTACTTTTAATAAACAGTGTATTAAAAACATTTAAATATTAAAAAGCTGTACTATGACGTGGCAACCAAATAAAAGGTGGGGGGAGATCATAAAAAGAGGTTTTATTTTGGATGGTTTAAAAGAAAAAAGGGTTGTTTTTTTTTAATTTTACTAGAAGTGGTTCTAAAAAAGGTGTACATTTTCTGTAAATATGCTGTTCATTTCATATCTATATAAAAATAGGGGATCATGAAGGGATGGTGTAAACTCCTGATGGGTGTACTAACCCGAAGTCTGCCCTGATTATAAAATGATTTGCATCTCTAAATCCTCATTGAGCCCCAAAGGGTCCAAGGTGTTTAATTTGTAAATACAGTAAGTCTCACGTTGGCATAAACGCTGAAATCGTTCCAGTGCTGACAAATGTTCGGAGATATGTTCGATGGCAAATACATGTAAATCTTGGAAATTCTTATTATGTTTCACTGTATAATGGCAAGGATCACTGCGGACGTGTGGTACAGCCTACATAAATCATGCCACAGGGGCACCCGAGACCGTATACGGCATGGTCATGTGAACAAGTAATGAATTGTCTGATTAAGTGTTGTTGAGATGGTCCTTAAATTCAGCTTGGCCATGGTGGATAAATGGGCAGGTAAGACATTTAGTTTTTTGCAACGGAATGTACTTATCCTGTTATCCAATAAAAAGTGTTTGTGCTGGGTCACAGGGCCTTGGACGAGTTTACTGGGTGCTATCATCTTTTCCACGTTACTTGCCTTTCGGAAAATGACAGGTGGTCTTGGTGGGAGGGGGCCCAATTTCGGGTTGTTGAGTAGTATGTATCAGTTTTTCTGGAGGGCATGCTGTATGGCTTTATGATTGTAATTGTATGTTGTAATAAACCTAATATTATCATGGCTTCTGGAAGGATTCTCTGTCCTATGCACTTGGGCTTCTGTTTGTCTTATGTAGGTGGAGTAGACATCTTGAATGAGCTGTTCCGGATAGCTTTTTTCTCCAAATTTCTCCAAATTTGTATGCCGAGTGATGTGTAGTCGGCTACCGCCGTGTAGTTTCACTTAAAGGAGAACTATGAGGTGAGTGCTTTTCACTCATCCTCATAGTTCTAGCCGACCTGTGACAATGAAACTGTCACAGGTCGGCTCAGTAGATCGGGGCGTTCGCTCACTTCTCGATCCTGTCACGGCTCTCTGCCGTGACAGGGGAGGGACTGAATTCCCCCCTCCCCGCTCATTCCTCCAGCGCTGATGGACGGGGAAGGGGGCGGGTACAGCTGGCTCTGCCTCTAGATAGGCAGAGCCAGCTGTCAGTCACACAGCTGGGCGGATCCAGACATAATTGTCGGAATCCGCTTCAGCTGCGGCGTCTCAGCTCACGGTATTCTGCGGTGTCTCCGTATACCACGAGCTGTAGCTCGCGGTATACTGAGCTTAGGGTGACGGGAGGACACTAGTTTAAGCCTACAGAATTGGCTTTTGGGAAAATTGGGTTTCCACCTGGGATGATGGCAGCTGTGGAAGTGTAAATAAGAATTGCCGCAAGTCGGTTTTGTATAATTTTTGCTAACAATTTTGTTTCCATTTGATGATAGTTGCAAATCCAAAAATGTTAGAATAGTGGGGCTGGCTTCATACGTAACGTTGAGGCCCAGGTTGTTCTTGTTGCGATGTGACACAAAGTTTTGGGATACTCTCAGGGTGGCCTTCCCAGATGATTACAATGTTGTCATAGAATACAAGGTGTTTGGTAAAAGGATTGTTCTTCCAGATGTAAAATTTCTCACAGTAGCCAATAGTGAGCCGTGCCCTGGGTTTGTAGGTGCCAGAGCACATTGAAAACCAGACAAACATAAGGTGCTAGTTAAGAAAAGTGTCCACAGGGGCAAGCAAAAATCATAAACAGGAATAAGCCAAGGTCAGGAGCCGGACTGGGTAGTTGTATAGGCCAGGTCAGGAACACGGAGATCAGTGTTGTCAGGAAGAAGCCATGAGCAGGAACCAGAGGAGAACATCAGCCAGGTTCGGATCATACATGGAATCAGAATACTCAGAGCAGCAGGAATTCACTAGCAGGTAAAACCACACAAGGGCAGGGTCCGACTGGACTGAGCAGTTTAAATAGTGTTTGGCCCTATGAGGGAGCCTGTGAGTAGTGAGCAACGTTACAGAGTCTGCTCAGACAAGGAGGAATCACAGGTGGGTAGAATGTAAGCCAAGCCAGAATGCTGCAAACCAGTATGCTGCAATCCAGTTAAGTCAGGGTGGAACCCTGACAGTAGGTAAAATGTATGTTAATATGGTAAAAAAATAAAAAATCATTATGTTGAAAGGTGAATTTGGCACATTTGCTGATGAACAAGGCCTGTTTATTATTTAATGTGGAAGAGGATAAATACAACTGCAAGGCACTCAGGCCCACTGTGTGGGAAATTGACATGTACAATAAACAGACATCTAGGGAAACCCATCAGTAAGTGGAGTCCCAAGTGTACTGGGAGAGTGTTTCAATGAGGTGACCGGAATCTCTGATGTATGACGGGAGTACGGTCACTAGTGCTTGAAGATATAGATCTATGTATATGGAGAAGCCACTTTTAAGACTGTTGGTACTGGCAATAATGGGTCGCCCTGGTGGGTTATGGCTATCTTTGTGTATTTTTGGCAGGTGGTAAAAATAAGGTGTGTTTGGGCATTGTGGACGTAATAAGGACCTCCCTTTTTCGGAAATAATACCCTCGTTAACAGCTGTAGCTGTGAGGGTTTTCAATTAATTGGCAAAACCGGCAAGTGGATCTGTCGGGAAACGTTTGTATGTGCGTTCATCAGACAGCAATCTGAGAGCCTACAATGTATTCTTGATGGTCCTGGATGACAATGCAGCCTCCCTTATCCGCGTGTTTGATGATGATGATGTCCTTGTTGCGGGAGAGGTCTTTTTAGGGCCCTGATTTTCCCCTGGGTTAAGGTTCGGGTGCACGTTGGCAATTTTGCAGATATTGAGGAGGTCTGAATAGGTAACATGTTGAAATTGACATGGATTTTGGTCTAAGGCATCTGTGTAAATCTTAGAACTAACAGGGTTATGCACAAAAGGGTGAAGAGTTTGGAGAAGGCAGGAGAAGTGAATAATCTAGGACAGGGGCGCCCACTATTTTTCGTCTGGAGATCTACTTTTCAAATGACGAGCTCATTGAGATCTACCAACGAAAAAACACCTGCATTCAGGGACGGGAGGGGGCGTGGCGGTGCATTGAAGTCAATGGCACCGCAGCCAGGCTCCGCAGCCAGGCCCCTCGCCCACAGTGCGATCGCCTGCATTAGTGCCTGTGTTCCAGTCCAGTGCGATCCGCAAAAATGCTGCGAGCACTATTTTTGCAGATCGCACTGGACCGGAATACAGGCACTAATGTGTCTGCGTTCCGAGTGCGGGCGATGCCATTGACTTCAATACAGCTCCACACCCCCTCCCACACTTGAACGCAGGGAGTCGGCCGGCTTACATTCCAGTGCGCCCTACATGTCCCGGCGTCCTGTCCTCCCGTGGCCGACGTTGCACATGGGGTGTCCTGCACCTTTCCATCTGCAGCGTCTGACACATTCAGCCGGCAGCCGCACGAGCACCACGGGAGCATAGCCGTAGCCAGCTCCTTTTGC